GAGCCGGGAGAGGGGGGGGCCCCGAGCCCGTTCTCCTGCTCTCGCCGCCATCCCCAGACGATGGTGAATGATGAACGTGCCACACCATGAAGCTCTTGTGGCAGGTAACTGTGCACCACCTCCGCCGCCACCGCCGCCACCGCCGCACCTGGCCGGGGCTCCTGGCCGCCTCCCTGACCCTGCACGCCTGGCTACTGGCCGCGGCCGCCGCCTCGCCCGGCCCCCAGAGCTGCCCCTCCGTGTGCTCCTGCAGTAACCAGTTCAGCAAGGTGGTGTGCACCCGGCGCGGCCTGGCCGAGGTGCCCCCCGGCATCCCCTCCAACACCCGCTATCTCAACCTCATGGAGAACAACATCCAGATGATCCAGGCGGACACGTTCCGCCACCTGCACCACCTGGAGGTGCTGCAGCTGGGCAGGAACGCCATCCGGCAGATCGAGGTGGGCGCCTTCAACGGCCTGGCCAGCCTCAACACCCTGGAGCTCTTCGACAACTGGCTGACGGTGATCCCCAGCGGCGCCTTCGAGTACCTGTCCAAGCTGCGGGAGCTGTGGCTGCGCAACAACCCCATCGAGAGCATCCCCAGCTACGCCTTCAACCGCGTGCCCTCCCTCATGCGCCTCGACCTGGGCGAGCTCAAGAAGCTCGAGTACATCTCCGAGGGCGCCTTCGAGGGCTTGTACAACCTCAAGTACCTCAACCTGGGGATGTGCAACATTAAGGACATGCCCAACCTGACGCCCTTGGTGGGCCTGGAGGAGCTGGAGATGTCGGGCAACAACTTCCCCGAGATCAAACCGGGCTCCTTCCACGGGCTCAAATCCCTCAAAAAGCTCTGGATTATGAACTCGCAGATCAACCTGATCGAGCGCAACGCCTTCGACGACCTGACGGCGCTGGTGGAGCTCAACCTGGCCCACAACAACCTGTCGTCCCTGCCCCACGACCTGTTCGCCCCGCTGCGCTACCTGGTGGAGCTGCACCTGCACCACAACCCCTGGGACTGCGACTGCGACATCCTCTGGCTGTCGTGGTGGCTGCGGGAGTACATCCCCACCAACTCCACCTGCTGCGGCCGCTGCCACGCCCCGCTGCACATGCGGGGCCGCTTCCTGGTGGAGGTGGACCAGACCTCCTTCCAGTGCTCGGCGCCCTTCATCATGGACGCGCCCGCGGACCTCAACATCTCGGAGGGGCGCGTGGCCGAGCTGCGCTGCCGCACGCCCTCCATGTCCTCGGTGCGGTGGCTGCTGCCCAACGGGACCGTGCTGAGCCACGCCTCGAGCCACCCGCGCCTGGCCGTGCTCAACGACGGCACGCTCAACTTCTCGCACGTGCTGCTGAGCGACACCGGCCTCTACACCTGCATGGTGACCAACGTGGCCGGCAACTCCAACGCCTCGGCCTTCCTCAACGTCAGCACGGCCGAGCTCAACACCTCCAACTACAGCTTCTTCACCACCGTCACGGTGGAGACCACCGAGATCTCCCCCGAGGACGTGTCCCCCAAGTTCACCAAGCCCGTGCCCACCACCTCGACGGGCTACCAGCCGGCCTACACCACCACCACCACCGTGCTGGTGCAGACCACGCGCCCGCCCAAGCAGGTGGCCGTGCCCACGGCCGACGCCGGCGACAAGCTGCAGACCAGCCTGGACGAGGTGATGAAGACCACCAAGATCATCATCGGCTGCTTCGTGGCCGTGACGCTGCTGGCCGCCGCCATGCTCATCGTCTTCTACAAGCTCCGCAAGCGCCACCAGCAGCGCAGCACCGTCACGGCCGCGCGCACCGTGGAGATCATCCAGGTGGACGAGGACATCGCGCCCGCCGCCGCCGCCGCCACGCCCGCCCCGGCCGCGGGGGCCGGCGAAGGGGCCGTGGTGCTGCCCAACATCCACGAGCACCTCAACTACAACACCTACAAGGCCGGGCACGGCGCCCACTGGACAGAGAACGCGCTGGGCAACTCCCTGCACCCCCCCGGGACCACCCTGGCCGACCCCTATTTAATCCAGACCCACCCCAAGGAGAAAGTTCAGGAAACACAGATATGACTCTTTTTTGGGGGCTTTTTTCCTGCTTTTTTTTTTTTTTTTTTTTTTTTTTT